GAACCTGTGCATGCCATTTAGGGTTCTAATCAAGTTCTGTGTGTACTCATATCCTGTGGATCTTGCTGGTGGGACTTGGATCTTGAATGCGATCCACACAAAGTTTGGAGTAATAAAGGCGGGAAGTCCATATCTTGATCCGTGGATCAATATCCTTTCACATCATTCAACCAGTTTGGTGACTTCGTTAGCTGTCAGCTTAGTTCTTCTATCAGTGTGCTGCAAGCACTGCCCCAGCTTGTTGAGGCATTGGTTATTTAAAAAATATTATCTTGAAGTAGCTTTTTGAGGTGTGGTGTTTCTGTTTAAGCTTTAAAAAGGCCAGACATGTGATTCGTTCAAATATTTGATTGGATACGGATCTCTTGTGAGGTGCCAGGTTATTCATTTTGAAATTGTCTTGCATGGTTTGGCAGTGTGTGCTTCCTGGAGGGGTGGAACTTCACACCAGTGGTCCCGATCCAAGCAATGAAGCTTCTTTGCCACATGCCTATCCTGTTGTTCTTACTTGTGAGTACATCCATCTAACGTGAACTATCATCCTGCATGTCACCATCCCTTTTTTGCACCACGCCATTTCACGCCCCTGAAGTTGATCTTTTCTGAGAACTAGTTCAAATGCGCTCTGTGTTCTTCTTCCTATTGGATCTCTCAAACTTTCGGGTGCAGCATGATGATCTTGTATAGTATTTCCATTTTGAAGTGAAAACCTGAATATGCTGAGTGCTCAACCTGAATATGCTGTGTTCTGTGTAATGAGCCTTATCCCCTCGGTTTTGTCTAGTCTTCTTTCCAACCACATTGTCGCAATCTATGCTGAAAATGTATATTTCGAAGTGAAAAGGTGAATATTCACTGTGCACTGTGGGTTATGGAGTAGTGAGCTTTTCCCCTTAGGCAGGGACACTGTGAGACCTCTGTTCCGTTTGCCTGCAAAGATGTCTGATTCCGTCTACTGCTCTTATTCAGATAGGAGATCCCAGCTGCTCATGCGTGAGCATCTTCAGTGCAGTCATTGTTGCAACTTTGGAGACTGGCTTTTATCCCAGCTGCTGTCTTTTTGGCTCCGATGTCCTGGTTGCACCTACATATTCATGGAATTATCGGTCCGAATGTGCCTTGCAGATATGGCAGGCGGAGGGGAGCTGCATCCCCTTACCTGTTTGATTCACTTCTTGGTAGATTTCTGGAACAAACTTTTCACCTCTGATGAATCGGAAGGGTTTGCTTTTTGTTGTAATGTTGTAGCTCCAGTGGGTACATGCCGCATTTGCACTATCAAACAACCCTGCTAAAGCTTATCGGCCGCGGCACCGAGTCTCGCATCTGCGATGGTCCACGTTAGTGTTTCTGCATCGCGAAGCGTGAGACGTCCGATGTAAAATTCTGACGTGCGATCGTTTGCATCGCGAAGCGTGAGACATCCGATGTAAAATTCTGATGCGCCTGATGCGGCGCGCCTGACGTGTCTGATGCGTTTGGCGTTTGTTTTTTTCTCAGGCGAGTCCGGTTTCGTTTCGTTTTTGCGTTCTCTTTTATGCTGTGGCCTCGCTAGACTACTCTTGAAATACGGACAGATACACTGTCATGATTTTTGTTTTTTGTCCGATGTAAAATTCTGACGCGCGATCGTTTGCATCGCGAAGCGTGAGACGTCCGATGTAAAATTCTGATGCGCCTGCCGCATCTGACGCATTTGGCATTTGTTTTTTTTCTCGGGCGAGTCTGGTTTCGTTTCGTTTTTGCGTTCTCTTTTATGCTTTGGGCCTCGCTGCACTACTCTTGAAACACGGACATATACACGGTCACGTTTTTTGTTTTTTTTGGATGTCGAGAGGAGTGAATCTTCCGCTAGAATATGGACAGATACACGGTCATGATTTTTGTTTTTTGTGGATGTCGAGAGTAATGCAGCGAGGCCCTTTGTCGTTTGCTGTCGGTGGGTGCTTGGGGCCGGTCGGTGGGTGCTTGCGGCCGGTCGGTGGTGCTTGGGGCTCCAGTCACGGCATCGCGAGGGCGCTAGCTCCCAATCCAGAACATGACCCTCGTCCACAACGGGCTCTACCTCCAACGGCCACCACATTCCTGGAATGCTTTCTAGGCTAGTTACAGGGCGGAGTACTGATCAGCACTTTTTCTTGGCCTCGTATCAATCCGTGGCTGCATAGAGAATTGAAGTGGCACCCTTGGCCTCAAGACCCTAGCATCGCAACCACTGCGGCGATGAAGGGAGAAAAGGGCTGGAAGTGCTGATGGGGGCCGAAGGTCCAGTCACCCGTGCTCATCTATGCGTTTTTACATTCGAACTTGGGTCTACATGCCTCACTCCTACTCGCCTCCACTGCTACCGGATTCACAGTCACACTATGGGCTGCGGGCCCGTGTCCTCGTGGTATGCCAGTATGTAGGGGACCATCATCGTTCTGTTCGTAGTGTCTACCTTAGTGGGGTCATGACGGAACTGGGACCTTTGATACATGACAAAGAGGGGAAAGAATTAGCAGGCAAATGGTGCTGGAGGGTTGACAGATGCTCAGATGGGTTTTGAGAATGGTTCTGGAGCTGTTGTGACCCTAGCGTGCTGGTTGCCAACTTGCCACCCACACCAAAACTGGGACCACTGGTGCATGAAAAAAAGGGGGGAGGAGTTAGTAGTCAATGCTGGAGCCTTAATAGTTTGCTAGGACGGGTTTTGTGAGTGGAGAGTGACAGAAGTCAGTAGATTGTGTGTGCAAGCCGACATGGAATAACAACAAAGAAAAAAATAACAGGCCCATGGGCCATGGCCGTATTTCTCGCTGTCACGACTTTGCTCACACTAAGTCAAGACAGTATACCATGCAGTGCAGTGTAGTCAGCATAGCTCGTAAATCGAGGCTCCTTTTTCCGCTCTTTTCTGCAAACTGGGCGCTAAGTAATTCTCTTGGAGGGCTTCGACATGATGTACATATTGTATCAGGCGCATTGTGTGTGGGTTATATGTCACTGGATGTCCAAGCGTTCATGAAGGGTTATTTGCCAAATGACTACTGTATAAGGCTGTAACTCAAAACTTGAGCCCCTAGATTGATGTGCAAAACACTAGACATGTAGGCCAGAGCCTGATCTGATTTCGTCTGGTGTCCAGGTGCACTGTAGCTATGGTTTCCCCACCTGTCCCTGACGAAGGGCAAATCTTCTGCTTATCAAAGCCAATGTAGGTGTTTGGCACTAATTCGGTACCATGTTATTACTGCTACCATAAACCCAAGTACTGACACCGAGGAGGCTATCGGGTCTTTCGGTAGACTTCTGTTGGTGCTAGGAGAATTTCACAACATCTGTCTTTCGCTGTGTTTTGAAAACCTGGTGAAGGAATTGTGGTTGAACGAAGAGGTTGTTGTTCATGATGCTATTGATGCTTTAAGGGAAGGCCGGGTCCTTGGTCTCTGGCGCATGGACTCCACGCTATCTTTGAAGGTCCTGACCATGAAAGATACTGGATACTGGTTTGAAATTGTTCAAGATCCGCCAAATTTCAAAGGCTGCTTAGGCTGGTATGAGATGTGTGTGCAGCCGAGAGGTGAGACAATCTATCATCAGAGTATTCAGCAGGGAGGTTGCTTGCTGGGGAGTTTGGTTCCCTTGCCAGCATTGTAAACGCCTTCCTTTGAGGTAGGGAGTGTACCTTTTTGAAGTTTTTAAACTGTTTTTTCTTTTCATTTTTTGTCCTGTCATTGCTGTCAAAGTGAAGTTTGGTTGCCTTGCGAGCATTGTGTGTGTGTGTGTGGGGGGGGGGGGGGGTCGGGAGACCAATTTTTTTTGTCCTGTCAAAGTGAAGTTTGGTTGCCCTACCAGCATTGTAAAGGCCTTTCTTTGAGGTAGAGAATGTAGCTTTTTTTATTTCCTTTTCTGTCAGCATTGGAAAGTTCGATTGCGAGTGATGTGTGGGTTTGCAGAATGAGAAGTCTGAGGATGATGATACTTATCCTGAGCATTTCTGCGATTTTATGCCCTAAGATTGCAGGGAACATATTGCAGTCCCTCTCTTTTCTGATCCTTTTCCGTCATAAGTGCCTCTACCGATGGTCCCGGCAATGGGCCTGGATAATCTGGCTTGGCTGGTGAGTTACTGTTTCCATGATTTGGTCAGACAGCGTTGCTGGTTGCCAGGAACACATGGTTTTGGTGTTGGTTGTGGACAGTGCTGGCGATGGGCCAGGATAATCTGGCTGGTGCGAACACGTTCTAGTGCTCTGATGTGTGTCCCTGAACAGGAACTTAGCTGTGCTGTCAATGCTTGTGCGTCATTGCAACCTGGGCCTTGAGTTCAAGTGTGCGAATCATTCGTCACAGTGGCTTCCCAGCCTTCTCTGACGAAGGCACATCATGACCCTTGGTTCTTTCCTTCTAAGTGTTAAACAAGCTCATTGATTTGCTGATGATCTACATGGGCTCGAGTTCAGTTCACCTTACATTGTCAGCGTATGGATGAGCATAAACAGAGGCGAAGAGATGAACTGAGGTGGCCCAAGAGGTGCCTTTGTCAGAGAAGGCAGGGAAGCCACTGTGGTCAAGGGTGGTGTGCACACCCCAACACAAAGCCCAATGGATTTGCAATGGCGCGCGGCAGCGTTGATAGCGCAGCTAGAAAGCCAAGTTCCCCTCTAGGGACACACATGAGGATGCGACAGTCCTGTTGATAACCTGCACTACATGCTGTGTAACAAAGAATGCAGACTAGACACTGTTTTTTGGCATAGCAACAGTGCTTCAGTTCGTGGACTCGTGTGGCTACTTGTGACGATAGCCTGCTTTGAGGGGGTGTTGTGGTCTCCATGTATTTGCAGCCTGCCTCATCAGCCTGGCCTTTGGTGTCAAACCAACAAGGCTTCTCATCAGTGGACAAGAATAACTGATAACGTTAGAGCAATTAGAAAAACAATGCCAAACCTGCCCGATGTTGTCTCTATGTCAATGATTATGGTTCCTCATGTCGGTCCCTGTCCTCATCTACCTGTCTTCTTACATACCCTGCAAAATGCTCATTATCAATACTGTCCTACTGTACTACACTGTCTGACACAGCTGGGCAACATACCTCAGTGACACTGACAAAAAGGGGTTGCCTCAACTTGCCTGTCAATATACACATACTATCCTATGCTGGTCTTCTTCTTCATCCTCTGAGTGGCGCTTGGCCTCAGAGGCCTGTTTCGGGGTGGCGCTTCCCTTTGGGGGCTGTATCTGGGTGGCGCTTGCTGTTTCAGGGGCTCAGGGGAGTCACGAGTGGTTACTTAGGGTTGGGGAGTGAAGCGCTGCTCATTTCTGAGCAGCGCACTGTAGTACTGAGGTTATCCTGACAATTCGAGACTGTGAGTTTAATAAACAGTGTGATTGTAGCATACTGCRTAGCCACACGGGCCCTGCAGGGCCCGTCCCGGACATTCAGCCTAAAAGCCTAAAACTTAGGGCTTACAGGCCCCGTTCGTTTCAGCCTGAAAGCTGAAAAACGAGGGCCTGCAGGCCCTACCCCGTTTCAGCCTATTTCTGGGTCTTTTCAGACCCAGAGTTTTCAGCCTGAAGCGGAGGGCCATTTTCAGGCCCTCGTTGTTTCGACCTGCCCCTAAGACTCAGGCACGTAAACAGGGATGCGGAACAGGCCAGGAATAGCCTGTTCCTCACGAGTTCGAGCAGGAGCTGCAGCTGCAGCCCCTGCCTCCCTTTGGCAGGCTCAGGAGGCACACCCGTARTACATAGGAAGTTCCCATGCACTTCACGGGTAGGTAGTGGTCAGTAGGCACGAGTAGTCTTCAGGATTCGGCCGCAGCACTCAGGAGGAGCGCTGCAGTAGTCTTCAGCGCTAGGTAGGATTAGCGCTAGCTGTAGTCTTCGGCGCTGGGCGCCATAGCTGTAGTTGTAGTCTTCAGCGCTGGGCGCTGGTAGGTGGTAGATCGTAGAGTGGGA